GAACAGTTCTACATAAATCATCACACTGAATTCTCTTCGATTCTTTGATGATGTAATGAGTAAGACCGACATTTATTTTCACGATGGTAATAAATCAATTGTAAGAAAAATATCGATATGAATCAGTGATGAATGCTTATTACAAGGAGATCACCGGACAAATTAAAGCTTTTAATAAAGCAGTTTCGGATTTAGAACTGAGATTGATCAGGCATGAAGATATTGAAGTAAGTTGGTGAGCTAGCGCCGAATAATGTTTAGAAAACCTAACTTACCCAGTAAAAGTAAGCGTTGGTAGATCACATGCTTAGATTGTGTATTATACGGAGCAGAGGATTACACATTAAAATGCTGTAAGGTTGGAGAGCTAATTTCATTATACTGGGAAAAAACGTTTCTAACCTGGAGATCTGGCCTTGCTTAACACAGTTTCTTCGTAGGGGGAGAAGCAGTCGCTAGAGAAGGCGTCACCGCATTGGTTGTTAATTCCGAATGGCGCAGTCATTTAAGTAGATCCCACGATACGATAGTGTTACAGAGACAAAGCATTTGATTGGTTCCTTATCGCAGAATTTATAGAAAAGGGGTTTCCCAGTAAACAGTTAAGTGGTAGTTTTGATCGATATAAGTATCATGCCCGACCTTTCTAAGAACCGCTTTTTAAATAGAATCTATCAAGTATCTTCTGAGAAAAATCCGTTTGAAATGAACAGAATTGATGTAGTTACCATTTTAAAGACGGTTTATCAATTTTCAGTTCTTTCTTAACGGTTCTAAACTGTTCATATGCTTGCCTATGGTTGGCAACGGCTGCTCACAGATAGACGGTTCCATAAGTTATTTTCAAGCTGACAAGTTTATTAAGGAGCCAATATCTTTGGCTTTTTACTTCGTGGGACTGAAAAATAATCCTAAAGGTAGTAAAGACCTATTAAGAAATTTCTGTAGGATAAAGTTTTTTGATCACGCGCAATGTTAAAGAGATTGTGAGATATTTATCGTCTTCTATTGTCTTCTGTAGTGTTACGGCAAGAACTGACATATTGCTTTGTGGCTATAAGCCATAAATCATATGAGGAGAGAACTCCAATGTGTATCGAGTGCGAATGCCGGACTGATTATATTATAAAAGTACACACACTGAGAAAAAAACAATGGCTTACCTTACCGTAGAGTCACTGTAAATCAGTGGTAGAGCATCGGTGTGCTTAATACGAAAGTCTGAGGTTCGATTCCTTACCAGAACTCTGAATATTTTTAACTGGCCCACGGCCGTGACATGACGCAAAAACATCCTTCTTGGTAACTACTTCTTGTTCAACACTGACTGAAAATTTTTGTAGCGTGGCTTACTATTAAAGCAAGGTCGTAATATCAATATATCAACGGTATGTATCTTAGGAAACCCCCCCGAAGGCGGAAAAATAAAGGAGTTTGCCGTGACGCGTGATGGCCATATGATATATTAACAACGAGTTGTGTGACCAGTACCACTTTAGTCACGTCATTCGTAATTAGAGNAATTTAATACGTAAATATTTAATTCGCTGGTGAAGAATCGAAGAGCAACGTGATGCCCAAGAATGATTGCTTTGTTTTGCATTTATTATGAAAGAGTGCGAGGAATAAATTACGCTTTTATATTTGGCAAAATATTCCTATATGAGCCGGATATAACAATTTTTAGCGCAACTAGATCAATCTTGCATAATTACTTAAATACCGATACAGAAGTAAGGGATTCATTTTCTCATTAGCAGGAAGCAGTTCAAGTTAATAATCGAAAACTCATCGCGGGACAAAATTTAAAGCTTTAAAGCCCATATACTATTTTAAAAGATTTGATGCCTGAAAGTTGCCTTTGGCTCAGTGAGCCGAAGATAACTTTCATTCGCCAACTGAATCTTTGTTGTAAAAGTTACCTTTTGGGCACTGTTGGCGAATCATGAAAGGTTTGCAGCTGTATATGAAGAAGATGCATCTTCCCACCTTACTCTATCTATCATTTATTTAGCCGGCTCAAAGACAGCAACTTAAGCTGTACAGAGTAGATGAAACATATTTCAAACCTCATAGTATGTCAGACCTGCAAAATTTAGCTTCTTAAAGCAAACTGGCCGGTGCAATTAATTAATGGTAACAGTGTCAAACAAATAGCACTTTTGATTGGTTCATGGCTAATCATAGGATTCTTAGAAAGAATGGTTTCTTTGCATGGATCGCACTTTTTTTTTTATCAAGGCAAGACTTTTTCTACATGAACTCTATGGCCACATGTATGCAAAATGAAGGTAGTCATCTAGGGAAAAGTCCCTCATGAAGATGATTTTTGTATGCAGAACGCGTAGCATGTTATTGACTTACTACGCTTGTTGTTTGAAAGCAGAATTTTCCTTTAAAAAGGAACTTTTTCCTTATGAATCTAAGAGAAATTATTAGGAAGATACCTTGTCTATAAGATAAAACAGAATAAGTAACGGCAATTTTCCAAGAATTTCTCGAACACAGATCTGCCTGTTGTCTATATTCAGTCTTTTCTCGGTGAAAACTTTCAAAACTTTCTCTGGACGACAGGATTTAACAACCGAACCATTTATAATCAATTAACTCAGGTATAATGAAATTCGTAAAGAGGGGCTCTCCCTGTAACGTGACAGATGCAAATTTGTTTTGATTTCATGAGCACAAATTAATTTATGGTAACAGTGTCAAACAAATAGCACTTTTGATTGGTTCATGGCTAATCATAGGATTCTTAGAAAGAGTGGTTTCTTTGCATGGATCGCAATTTTTTTTATACTGTCAAGTGCTATCCTCGAAAAATAAAGTTGATTTATCTTATTTTATTTTATTCCAGTCAAAACATCACTCGATATAGAAAAACATATTCAACAGACAAATGAGTTTGTCACATTCCACTGAGATCAAACTCTTTTACCCGAGAAGAAGCCTGGATGTTTTTTGAGATTTTGGTGAGAATTGCATTATTGAATAAAACCTCGCATTCTGATATTTAACAAAGCGAGGCCTTAACGTGGAATTGCTAGTTGAAAACGAGACTAAGCGATATTGTTTCGCATCTGGGCGAGCCTGCAATTTAACGCGGAATTCCCTCATCGGGTCATGAATTTTCCTGGTAAATACTTTTCTCAGTTACTTCGCATTGAGTACTTTCGATGTACAAATGTCTATTTCAATCTGATAATGGATTTAGCACAGCATGTTCAGTATCACAAGCAGAATAAAAAAACAACTAGTAGTAAGAAATTTAAAGGTTAACCTTGAGAAGTATTAGATCTTGCTCAACTCAGCTGTTTTGCGAAGCTGTTGGTTGAAGAGTTACCGCAACAGTGATCGATATCTGCAATGAAATTAATTACTAAAATTAATGCAGCAATTTAAAAATGAGTTCAACGAAGTTGACCAAGATACACCAACTATTCTTTTCAATATTGGAATTACTGTAAACACAACACTCGACATAGTAGAAAATTTAAACATGGGTTTGTCGCATTTCAGTAAGAGTAACCCTTTTTCCGGAGGGTAATGCTAAACTTTTCTTGCATTCATCAATAGCCGAGATTTAGACAAAAATACATTTTTAAGTGGTTTTCTATGTGCATATTTCATTTAATGCAATTATGAATCGAGCATTACTGACTGAACTAAAAAGCTAGAATATAAAAAATCAAAAGCTTACCTTCTGATGTAAAAGATCTTGCTTAACGCAGCTTGAGTTACTGCAGAATTGATAGATTCCTGCAATGGAATCAAAAATTGAAATGAATTTGACGGGGAAGGTAAAAACTATTTGAATCAAAAAACGAGTGAAACGAAGTTGACCCAGATCCGCCAGTTTCCGGCGCGGTTGCGGGGGAACATTTTTGTCATTTGTCTTCACATGAATATACTCCGATGTGATAGCAGATTTAGCCCTTGGCACCGTTCAGTATTACCGGCTGACCTACAAACCCAAAACCCAACCGCAGGAAAACAAGGGAAACCTTTTGTAATATGGGGTCCATCTTACCTTAGCTTTGTCCTGCAAGTCGTTCGCCGCTTGAGGAAATCTGTAACTGTGATCAATGACTCCAGTGAAGTCTAGTAACGTTCACGTCACTATTGAGCCTCCTCTGCCGCGAGCCAATCAGATCTATGTAAAGTATACTGTTTACGATTTTTATAGGCAAACAAGCTTATCTGATTGGTTCGCATTTTAGTTTCAATTCGTGGAAATAAGAACAATGAAATTTTTGTTTCGATGAAACTCCCTGGATAAACCCTGGACAAAAGCCAATCCCGCTTTGAAAAAGCAGCTTTCACCACAGGCAGAATGTCTA